GTGCAGCCCTACTGTATACCAATTCTATTATTCTATCTTAGATACTGTATGCATGTACATATTCTATCTATCCACACCAGTCAAATATATATTTACCTACAAAAGTTACATAACTTACATGCACTGCAGTTATATGTATATAATATTCTACTCATTTAGTGGACCAACGTAGGGATTCGTACAGACTACGCAATTCGGATGATTTCAGAACAAACCTCAGACAAGAAACAGATTCGAACATCGATTGATGGTGCCAATTATGTCTGCCTGTTTCACGACTTGATAACAACTGTCTATAGATTTGGTAGGTCGATCATCACTGTCAAACTATAATTTCCTTAAAAGATTTTCTCAGATTTCTTAGAGATCGAGTTGTTCTTATGATTTGATGAGCGAATCATTATTTATTTAACAAACTAGATTGACAGTTTGGCAAATAATAGTGACAGAACGACTAGGTTTTACCAACTTTCCTCTCCTGGAAGTATTTTTTTCTTCTTTAGCTAAAAGCTGCCAGAACGTTATTAGTTCTTTTATGTTTTAGAAACAAAAAGGAAACAGTTATTTGTTATTGCAGCGTGACTAATGCATATTTAAAAGGCAATTGATCGTTCTCCAAAAATAATCACTATAGTAATGTTTTTCTTTGGTAACAAATCGATCATGACATTTTATTTAAAACGATATATTGCATGATATATGGAATCTTTCATTGATCTATTTCATAACTGGTTTGTGCTTTGTTTTTCAAATACTTTAAGATAAAAAAACACATCCTGTCTAACCAAAATTAGTTGCAAAATAATAAGTATTTCATTATCATGTCATTAAGATTAAAGATAGTAATTAAAAGAAATATGTCTTTTTTAAATTTTATACATTGTTCTTCAAAAACACTGGGAAACTCGGACGAACATTAAACGGACCTTAAAGCGAAGTATTGATACTACATAAAAAAATATAAAAAACCTAGTGTCAGAACTACATCAGGCGCCCGGAAGAGTTCGCATATTCTGCATGCGACACACGTTACAGTGTTTATGGCCGAGGAGCCCCAAACAACCACAATCAACGACATCCGTCCATATTAAGTGTAGATGATTTCATACTTTTTCAGATCGGCATTGCAACTGACAGAGGTTGTGAGCTGGCAACTTTATCAAAGATCTCTAGCAAGTGGCGGCACTTAAAGGAATCTGATTATTCGTTAGATTTATTAGACTGAGAGCAAGGACGATTGTAAAATCACATTAAAAGCTTATTTGTTACCCCGTGGCGTTCCATGTATGCCCCAGGTAATGAGGGCTTTAGAATGTAAGTTGATGATGCCTGATGTTAAGATTCTGATACAACACGTACATGATTAAATGTTCCTGCTTAACCATTATTTTTTACTGAATGGCATGGTCAACTAGTCAGAAAAATATGTTCATAGTGTTAACGACTTTTCAAATCGAAAATTGTTATCTTATCGCGGATATTCAAGATCCCTTAATCTATAATGAAAACTATAAAGTATAAAAAGTATTTAAATACATGTGACAAAATGTATTTTGAACCAACTGTCACAGATCAGGTAGTACCATATTGATGTTTTCAATTTAAAATTACCATGCGTCTGATATTGGCAGTCTTTTGTTTACTAGCATGTAGCCATCAGGTGTACATGGGACGACTAAAGATACAGGGAACCAATTTCGTTAAGGATGGAAAGAGAGTATTTTTGTCCGGTGCAAACCAAGCGTGGATATCTTTTGGTCATGATTTTGGTGATCATAACTATGAATACCGAAAAGCGGATTTTGAAAAATATCTTAAACTAGTTCATGACAATGGTGGTAATTCCATTCGTGTATGGGTTCATGTTGAAGGAGTAATTAGTCCCCACTTTGACAGTAATGGTTATGTCACTGGTCTTGATAAAGCTGGTACCTTCATTGCCGAATTCAAAGAATATTTAGCGAAGGCACAGAGTTACAATATCTTGATATTCCCTTGTTTATGGAATGGTGCTGTTAAACAGAATCACGAACATCTTCATGGGCTTATAGTTGATAACGCCAAACTACAGTCATACATTGACAAGGCACTTATTCCATGGGTCAAAGCCGTTAAAGACGAACCTGCACTAGGAGGTTGGGACATCATGAACGAATTTGAAGGCGAGATTAGACCAGGACTGCATAATAGTGAGCCTTGCTTCGATACAGTATTCTTACAGAATTCTGGTGCTGGTTGGGCTGGTGCTACATACTCTGCTCAACAATTTCTGAGGTTTATCAACTGGCAAACGGATGCTATAAGGCGTACAGATCCAGAAGCTCTAGTAACAGCTGGGTCCTGGAATGCTCGTGATAATACTGATAAAATGAATACCCATAATTTATATAGTGATAAATGTTTGATAAAAGCTGGTGGAAGAAAACATGGTACATTGAATTTCTTTTCATCCCATACTTACGCTTATCAGGGAAAATATGACGAATTCGCCCCTTTCAAACACAGAGCCTCTGATTATGGTTTTAGTAAACCTTTTGTTATTGCTGAATTTAACCAAGTCGGTGGTGCTGGTATGGATATTACAGAACAATTTGCATGGGCGTACAATCAAGGTTATGGTGGAGCATGGACATGGCATTTACGTGCTGACGGGTCAATAACCGATTCCAGTGCTAACCAACTACGTGGTATGAAATCCTTACGAAATAAAAACGACCAGAGTAAAGGTGGTTTGGTAGCCTTTAAAGTTTAAATTATTCTGATCTATTAATCTTCTTTATCTCTTCTCACTCCTTATATTCATTATATCTCTATCGATGAACACTAGTTTTGATAGCCTACTTTGATTACAATGGTAAGTTAATCGGCGTTTCCAATCGTACAAAGATGCACCGATCGCACACACACATGGCCTTCAACTTTATTAACTTTTAATATACCGAAAGGTTACAGGCTTATCTATCTTGTTGACATAAGTGACATCGTCTAAATTTAGCAAATAAGTACGGTAGAGGTTTCCAACCGTCGCATTCTTACCAATGTCCGTGATAGATAAGTTTTATAGTCGACATTTCTTGTCGGTTTTCATCGGATTTTACTAATACGAGGGTTGGCTGAACATATCTTAACCGAATAGAAACAATCTATTGTAGGCCTAAAGGAGTGGGCTGTGGAATTCAAGCATGACACTGAGACCCTTACCGATGACCCGTCGTGTCCTGTAATGTCTAACAGCAACCATACTTCAAAACAACAACCGGGTGCATATCACGGTGATGCCTGATCGATAATTGGCCAACCCACATATTGCCAGTGGTGTGGGCATCTCTTACTCTTATGAGAGCATTGAGCACAACATCAACAATAAGTTGAAAATGACAAATGTTTCTGAATATGGGTGTCAAAGCTCTTGACAGCAGATTAGAAAGGTGTCAGATATCGCTTTTGGGAGCTTCTTTATTGACCCCTGTATCCTTCAGGTATTAAAGGTATAATAAAAATCTGTGATGCTTGGTACGACAGAAAATGGAACGTTAGTACTAACCCCTTTAATTGTTAAGGTTATTATTTATGTCTGTGATTGGCATGAACAACCCGGAAGAAAATTCATATGCGTATAGTAAGTAATAAGCCAAGTAGGCTACTTACGATTCGAACCGCAAACGATATCCGAAATCTAAATACAAAATCATCGCGAAACATTGGTAGACTCTAGCAGCGCATGAACTTTTCACATGAGGAATTATATCAACCGTAAGTGATAAATATTTCATAATGAAAAGTGGTATCCTGCTTGGCACCACAGTCGTCATCGCTGCTTATACACAACAAACAGGAAGGCAAAATCAAAACTAATTTCAAAAGTTCAGGGGAGGTAACTAATGAAAATATTTTCTTCCAATTTTAACTGTTCAAGAGAGGAAACTGATCACAGAAGTTACTCTCAAATTGCAAATTGTCATTTTCTAAGAAGTTTTCCAATATTATAGCTCTTTTTAAGTACCTGTGTGCTGAACTAACCCTGAAAATAGTATAGGCCACTGTATACAGATTCGGTTGATAAAACAGTGATAAGATTTCATAGCAAGTGGTGACTTCATAACCCTGGAATAAGTAAAGTTATATAAAAATACATGTATGTTAATCTGCAGATTCTTTACTTTCATCCAAATGAAAACATTAAAGGGGAACTGTCTGCAACTTATCAGTTGTGAAATAACTTGACTTTATTGTCACCACAATTGTAAGAAATATAACCAAATTTGATATCTCAAGAAAACATACTGGTTATTTTACTTTATGTCCCAGACAAAAAAAACATATGGGTGGCTTTACTTTATGTCCTTTACCAGAAACATATTGATGGTTTTACTTTATGTCCTAAACAAGAAAACATATTGACGGTTTTACTTTATGCCCTAAACAAGAAAACATATTGACGGTTTTACTTTATGCCCTTAACAAGAAAACATATTGAAAATTTTACTTTATGCCCTAAACAAGAAAACATATTGATGGTTTTACTTTATGTCCTAAACAAGAAAACATACTGATGGTTTTACTTTATGTCCAAAACAAGAAAACATATTGAAGGTTTTACTTTATGTCCTAAACAAGAAAACATATTGGCGGTTTTACTTTATGTCCTAAACAAGAAAACATTGGTTTTAAAATGTGTCCTTAACAAGATATATTTTGGTGGTTTTACTTTATCTCCTATATAATAACATATTGATGGTTTTACTTTATGTCCTAAACAAGAACAATGGTGTTTTACTTTATGTCCTAACAAAGAAGACATTGGTGGTTTTACTTTTTGAATTATTGGTTTTTGAGTTTTTGACATATTAATATTTCTGGGCACTTCGAGCTTTAATAGATTACTATATTCTAGTTCAAGGCAAAAGCTGTCTATGGTTACTTTTGGAGTCTTATCGCGAATCAAGGTTAAGCTATGAACAGATAAAAGGTACTAAAAGGTAGTTAAACACATGTGAGGAGATTTATTTGGAACCAACTGTCCCTGATCAGGTAGTACCATATTGATATTTTAATTCAAAATTTCACTGTCTTACTCACTTTCTTTAAGAAAATCAGTTCCGAATAATAGTTAACTGTTATGTTTCTCGTCTAGGTTGCTTACTTGTTTGGAAAAAGAAACCATGCGTCTATTATTGGCAGCCTTTTGTCTAGTACTGTGTAGCCACCAGGTGTACATGGGACGACTAAAGATACAGGGAACCAATTTCGTTAAGGATGGAAAGAGAGTATTTTTGTCCGGTGGAAACCAAGCTTGGATAGCTTATGGTTATGATTTTGGTGATCATAACTATGAATACCGAAAAGCGGATTTTGAAAAATATCTTAAACTGGTTCATGACAATGGTGGTAATTCCATTCGTGTATGGATTCATGTTGAAGGAGTAATTAGTCCTCACTTTGACAGTAATGGTTATGTCACTGGTCTTGATAAAGTTGGTACCTTCATTGCCGAATTCAAAGAATATTTAGCGAAGGCACAGAGTTACAATATCTTGATATTCCCTTGTTTATGGAATGGTGCTGTTAAACAGAATCACGAACATCTTCATGGGCTTATAGTTGATAACGCCAAACTACAGTCATACATTGACAAGGCACTTATTCCATGGGTCAAAGCCGTTAAAGACGAACCTGCACTAGGAGGTTGGGACATCATGAATGAATTTGAAGGCGAGATTAAACCAGGGCTACATAGTAATGAGCCTTGCTTCGATACGGTATTCTTACAGAATTCTGGTGCCGGCTGGGCTGGTGCTACATACTCTGCTCAACAATTTCTGAGGTTTATCAACTGGCAAACGGATGCTATAAGGCGTACAGATCCAGAAGCTCTAGTAACAGCTGGGTCCTGGAATGCTCGTGATAATACTGATAAAATGAATACCCATAATTTATATAGTGATAAATGTTTGATAAAAGCTGGTGGAAGAAAACATGGTACATTGAATTTCTTTTCATCTCATTCTTATGCCTGGCAGGGAAAATATGACGAATTCGCCCCATTTAAACATAAAGCTTCTGATTATGGTTTTAATAGACCTTTTGTTATTGCTGAATTTAACCAAGTCAGTGGTGCTGGTATGGATATTACAGAACAATTTGCATGGGCGTACAATCAAGGTTATGGTGGAGCATGGACATGGCATTTACACGCTGACGGGTCAAATACCGATTCCACTGCTAACCAACTTCGTGGTATGAAATCCGTACGAAATAAAAACGACCAGAGTAAAGGTGGTTTGGTAGCCTTTAAAGTATAAATAAAACTCACTTTGTCACATACAAGATTCCTTATATCATTATCAAGAACATTAGTTTTCCGATTTTGATTACAGTGGCACAGCTACTAAGGCTTTTGTTAATCGAAAAGATATGCCCATGCCAAAGTTCCCCGTATCGCACACTGTGTCAGCCGTCTTAAGCGACTCAATCAGACGCCGTAAACTAGAACGTTAACCCTATTGTCATTCCAGTTAATGGATTATATTGTGTCAAAACATTTGTCTTATGATCATAAGTGACAATCCACGTAACGAGTAAGCATTAATAACGTCCAAATTTAGCAAATAATGTATTCATCCGCCATTTTCATTACTAACAGACAGACAAAACATGTCCTTTTGTAGTCTGCTGTATAAGTGAACTTAACTTATCATTAACCGAGCAACCACTCATCAGTCATTTGGTGATCAGATCTTGAAGAGTGAACACCTGTCAACCTAATTATCAATGTTCATTAAATACAACCAACCTTGAAACTAAACCACCATGTCTTTCAAATCAATAGCAATGGAGCCACAGGTAGGAAAACACAGAATCACATATTTTCCTATAGGTTTAGCATTCAAATATTATTTTATATCTCAGTATGCACACTACGATGTAGTTCTTGCAATAAATCACTCTTCCCTTCATTTGTTATACCCTCAGATGCACATTCACATCACAGTTTGATGAAACTGTGGGCGCATAGTATTCTCGACCCTGTACACGTAAATTCAATTGAATCGATTTTAACGCAGTGTTATTGTTACATTAGGTCCAATTTGATGATTTTTCGATGAACATTTTTTGAGCTTTTGCCCTTGACTTCCAACAATTTTCTTTTACATTAGTCACTTATTTCAATTGATCTGAAATGATAAAATTTGGTGGCAGACGAAGATAAGAATATAGTCTCATAAGAGCACTGGCTGGGGTTGCAAAGTTAAGATTACTGATATAAACAAAGGTCGAGTTAAAGGTTAAGAAAATTTGGTGTGATGATGAAGTAGAAGATTGTAAAGTTGGGATTTTTAGTTATTGTACTTGACTAAGTTAAAATGACATCTTTATTATGAAATTTCAAATATCAGACAAAGATGCAAATGTTGCAAAATACAGAATACTCGGATATTTTACTGACTTTAAAAGTGTATGATCGACAACGTGACCTGCAAATTTCCTCCTCCTATCTTTAAGAGAAACTAATTTATATTTGAAAGATGGTCAAATCACGTTTGTAAGCAGACTATTGGTAATGATAATAGGTTTAAAGTCAAATCACTACATGAAGATGATAAATTGTGGGATTTTCAACTCGACTTAATCTGCGATCAATATACTAAGACAGGTTGACAATGGCAGACTTCAACCTTCGTGACTTTAACCAATGAAATCATTTTATATATATATTCGGCCACATCTACACAGTTTCCTTAAAAGTGAGTCTACCTCAGTTATGGTATTCGGCAATTCGTTACAGTTTCCGCAAAGGTGAATCTGAGAATTGAATAGAGAATTCCGTGTGTCTTCTTTGGCGAGACTCTCAACTTCCGGTATTTACGGTGATTTGTGAAGTGATAGTAATATTGCGACCTAAATATAGTCCTCAAATTTAGAGCCTTTTGGAGACAACCTTATTATGTACTTATGCATTTAATATTTTATTGTGACTATTGGTTATCCAATGAAACATTATATTATCTGAATACATATATTACGTATTTTGGATTCCGTTAACTTTTTTACAACTACCTGTAGCCCTAAACAACCAACCTCTAATATTTAAATTAGCAGAGCCACGTGATTACGTGGCAATATTAATATATTCATTCACTCATTGCCGTGATATGTTGCAGAGCGCTAGAGCGACCTTCACCGTTTTTGTGATTATCTGTTTTGTTGACATTTAAGAGTCATATATCACAACCGGGATATAGCGCAAGGTAGCAAACAATATTTAAAGTTGTCCTGGAATTGGTAAGGGTTAAAAAAAATCAATGTATTCACTTCTCTTATCCGATTTAAATGTCAAAATAGACTATTCACTTCCTAGATATCATATATTGTGTGTCCGTCCGGACATAATGAAAGTCTCTTGTCTTAATTTACATGTAATAAATAATCATTATTAGCTAGATGTGACCAATGGGATTTAGTGTACAATATCGAATATAGAATCATTGGGACAATATAGTTCTCTTTTCGGCTATCTTGAATGATTGTACGAGCCAAAACGACATTTACGTCTTGGTCTACCAGGCCGATATTCTCGTCACTAAAGACAATTGTTACCCAATTATTCAACTTGAGCAAATGTCGATTGTGTCTCTTGTTGTGAATTAAGATAGTTAATTTCCACACAGTATCATTTTGTCGCAACATTTTTATTCCATGAAATTATTTGGCGAAAACTGGAGAAAAAAATGAAGTGAAATGAATGGCGTCCTACTTTTCTGTACCATGTGGGCTAATGAAGGGGGGCAACGCCATGCAGGGTGCAATTAGAGAAATTTTGCCAGGACATCGGCATTATAGCCTGCTCTTTCTCGATTTTCAACTGTCGAGGGATCTTTAACGTGCACAGTCTGTAGCACTTGGGGTCTTGGTTTATTGTTCAATCCGAACGATTAGACGCTTTTTCCATGCCAGCCCCTCTTACCTGCATCACTGACAGGGGGAAACCGGGTTGAAAAATTCAAAGTTATGTCGAAAACTGAAACTTCAGCGAATCAAGTATTAGGGCTTGTTGTATCTAAGACCAGTTTTAATATTTACTATTATTCATAATAATATGGCAGAGTTTATATGCAGGCATTGAAGGTTGATACAGTTTATTGCGTACACAATAGTTATATCACAAGTTTACACATAGAAAACACGACATAATTGCTGAAAAACTGGTCAATTGAGTTTGAAGTCAGTGGTCGTCTGACCTTTCCATACATGTGACTGTCGGTCAGAACAATTTCGTACCATGCATGCAATACGAGCTATGGTATGTCAATTAATGTAAAATCTTAGTCATTGGTGTTAAACGCGTATTCTGCCCATTCAGACTCTTTCCCTGACATATGAGGAAATGTACACAGAATACGAGTTTATCTGAAATGTATTCTTAACGATTAACATTCTATAACACCTTGGTTATTAATGAACAAATTAAAAATTGGCTATGTACTTTTATGATAAAACCTTATGCTTTGAATGATATTGGACTTTCCTGGCAATTTTAACACAAGGCAATATTGAACCAGTTCAACCAAACTAAACCAGTTGCTGAGATCCAGTTATTAAAATACACTATACGAAAGAATATTTTCATGAAAGGTGTGGATTAGCATAAACAACAACCACGAATATTAATCTACCGGAAATTAGATTTTCCGTCATTGCATATGTGAACAAATCATGCAATTATTTTCTGAAATTCACATTTGAGTTGAAAGTAAAGTGTATGTTTTACAATTTAATTATCCAGAACAGCTGCGAGGCAATGTATTGAACCAGTTTTGTTCTGAACCATAGTTGTATAAAGACATAGAAGATCAGCGAAGACTATCATACTCAATATCTGTCTGATTGTCAAATATAAGAGTATTGCCATTGTGACATGGGTCTCGGTCACTGTGAAACGATTCTTACTCTCACCATTTTGACAAAGTTTCTTATTGGACCTTATTGCTTTGATCGTTGTATTGTTAACGCATTGTAAATATCAGATAAAATGTATAAGAGACCATTATATAGCAATCTAGCACATCTCATCAAAAATTACAGGGGAGTAAACAGTAGTTAAAATCGCTTAGGTATTGAAATAAAGAACCGGTAAAGCAGGATTGTATAAAGAAGAACATGGTGACTTCATTGAACAGAAATCCATATATCGATTGATGTTCATCATTATAAATCTCTAGTTTATTATTGGACAATTATTATTATCTTAATATATTATTTCAGTCTAGTCAATAGAAAAACAGTCTCTAAGGCAAAAGGTTATGTCGTGTTGTATAAAGAATCATTATTAAGACGTTCCTTAATATACAAGTATGAGCAAGTATCACTTGGATGATTGAAAGTGAGATCCGGACAGAGCATCAAGGTCACAGAAAACTTAAAATTAATTCTATGAAGTCATTGCATCTTTATTTTCAGACTATATGGACATACAAACACAACAATCGTATTACTACGCTAATCGTCCATCTGTAGGGTCCGGCGTTCAGAACAATCGTCTACATGGTCAGACATGCAGAACAAAAACATCGTCTTACCACATGGACAAACAGCACAATCGTCTTCATATTATAAGGATACGCAAACAAAGCATTTGTCCACCCAGAGAAACAGATTATTCAACAATATATCAAGACACGCGCATATCAACCAAGTGACAAGGCGTTTTTTAACCAATAGGATTCAACCAGTTACTTCCCTTTACAAGATAGATCCCAACCTATCCCAAAAGGTTGACCAATAAACAATATTTCAATCATTGGAATCTTTCCTCGCTTAACTTATTACAGGTATACATAGAAAAAAATAATAAATAAATCAATTCCTAAAAAAACAAAAAAAAAAAACTTGTCATGTACTGACAAAAATGTGTTTTTGCACATTCTGATCCAATATATAACATAAAACACGCGATAAATATATCTATCTCCCCTTCACGGAAATACAATGTAAATAAAAATCGGTTATACCTAATACATGTATGTGCATTGCATTTTCGCATGCACCAATCAATATGGCTAAAATATTTTTAAATCAAATTTATCATAAACCCCCTTTACATAGTCAAATGTAGATGGACGAATGTGGAGTATAAATATGTCATTTTTATCAGCAAATCAGTGCTCAAGTGTCTGTCGTAACACCAGCCAATATTAGTGTTAATAGCTCAAAAAATTATGCCATCGGAATTGTTCACATCATTTGTTAACCATTATTAAGATTCTTCTTTTACTTTGTGCGCCCAGTCCGTATTAGCTTAGCCAACGATGTCCTCTAATAAGATATAATGCCTTTTTCAGTTTTATTTGGTACACGGTCGATCCGGCCTCATGTAATGTTTGTACTCGATGAAACAAGATTATAACAAAAAGTTTTTTTAACTAGAGTAACAATACACTTGATAAGAGGGGTAGTTTTCAGAGCTTTATTGACATCTGTTCAGTAGTATTCTTAACTATGAGCAAGCCTATGTTTCGGGTGATTACCTATGTGTATGTTAAGTATGGGTATATATTGGATTTTGTTACAAAACGCACGTATCATACACGTATATCAATATAATTCGGCCTTGAATTTCCTTCAAAATATATCTTTTTTTAATTCTGGTCCCATACTTTAAGAAATGGTTTCATGTTGTAATATTACCACTCTAACCAATACCCAATAAAATTAAGGATGTCGGTTTAGATCGTTGTTGCCAAATTGAAAATATTTCGAAAAAAATACCAGGACATTAAGTTAATATTGTATACATTAAGCAATTTTTTTCTAATGATCAAGCTATTAAGGATTTTTCAGATATTCTTTTTTGTACCTGATATATTATTTTACAGCCATTTTACATCATTACCTTTTTTTTTATTTTTTCAGGTAATAACCGGAACCGGTCCAGGTCCCCTGGGATGATTGGAGCAGCAGGTAGTCGACATGCCGCCCGACGTCGTGCCTCACTTGTTTCCAATACCGCCCTTCCGTCCCACTTTACGGCCCTACCCGGCATGCCGGAAGAGGAGCCACAAGTACGGGTGGCGAGGAGGAGGGTGGTGGATAATTCTGATTTACGACAATGTGCCCTGTTACAAACCAGATTAAAGGAGATCAAGTCATATCCAGAGTAAGTTTAATTCACTTCTTTTTCATTTTTTATAGTGAATGTTAATCAGATGTGATAAACTTCCGCTTCCGATTGACTGACTGAAATCATGTTTTCTTCTTAGGTTCACTTTAACATCACATTCTGAGATGTACATATCAGCTGTTCATTGGTAATCAAATATTTAACAGTTTTAATCGATGTGTAGATCACTTAAGTATAAAAAAGCATCAGATAGTATATTTGAACATCTGCGTATGTAAATATTTACTGTTGAACATCCGAATAACCAATAAGTACATGTAAGTAAGGTATTTCACAGCATATGGATTTCTTAGTTTATTGAGTACATCTAACAATCCAATTATACCGACCAAAGCCATGTTAACTCAATTACACTCACTTGGAAGGATTTACAATAATTGTAATAGAATATTGAGGGGCCACAACTCCTGAGATCTTAACACACGTTTGAGAGAAATAGTATCGTATATTACATGACAGACTCGTAAAACGTTACATAGATCATTCAAATTACATCACAATTTTCCCATCGAAATGTATCGTACGTCACCATTGATCAATATATGAGAAAGAGATAAATTTGATAAACCAAACCATCAAGTTGCCATTTTACCTTAGGTCTCTGAACAATGGCATCATAAGAATACATTGAATGGATAAGGCGGGTAATGGTAGTCAAAAAAATCTGAACTTTCAATATAAGGAACGAATCACGCCTGCATCTTGGTCAAGTTTCATCCCAAAAATGACATTCAATCTTATAACCCAAACCTTGATGAGATTTAAATCTTTTGCTCTTGATAGCACAAAACACATGCGTGCAGTCGAGATCTATCCCTAGATGTTCTTGAAAACATAATTCGAAAAACCTAAGGCACTCATCTATTCAATATCAAGTTTATCTTACACTATTTGGCCTTCCAACTAACCAAAATAACGTTTTCTTTGATGCTTCAAGATTTAGTAGCCGTGGATGGCAATTACCTTGGACTGGGACACTTGCGTCTTGTTGGGAGATTTGCGCAGCTTGAAATCATCCAAGATCTTACAATTTTACATGTTAATCTAATCCAATATGGGTAGATCTGAACGTTCACAAATGGTTTCCTATTGCCGTTGCCACGATACGTTTTCAAGTTTGGATTGTCATCTGCTTCTTCTTTTAGCATTCATTACTACGAATAATAAAATGTCCTTTAGAAATATTTAGGAACTTGGAAAACAACTGCCCAAAGAACAACTATTTATTTTATGTTACAACTGTTGGTAGAATACATCTATTGCAGATGTAAATAGCATAAGAAAAGAATTTCAACATAAAATTGATATTAAGATAAAAGTTCGGGTTATTGATATTGTAACATAGAGAGCTATACAGTGAAATAGAATTATGCAAGTGACCTAATTTTATTATTAAATTAATTCAAGCATTTATGCACGATCGAATGTATAATTTCGCAAAACATCGATACAAACTGAATTGCTCGCTATTACATAATGGCCTTTGGGATCAAGCCAACGCCATTAGGGGAATAATATCAGGCTTTGAAACCTATTTCCTTAGTCATAAATTTTGTAAGTTCGAATTAGTAAGAGAGTTCTCTTGTGAATCTGAATAAGCTTCCAATATTTGCAATTATGTTGCAAGGTATTTAGGTGTAAAACACATTTTCATTCCTTTTAATAGTAATGCTAATAACATCATAATGTTATGTACGGCGTTGTGGTTAATTAGTGGAGTAGGTCAAACGAGAGGACAAAAGTTCAAGTTTCTCAATATCAAGCTTTCGTAATATGCATATTGAAATAGGCATTTATCAGTCGTGCATTGTGCAACACACATGGAATAAATAGAGATAATCTAGTCTGATGTAACGATAGTGTTATGGAATATTATATAGTTTAAATATAGTCTGGCAATATGATAATAGTATCAGTGGTTGTATATCATGCTGGTACAGGAAAATCGATGAGAACAAGGGAACCATATAGTTAATTATTTATATAAGATATAACATTACAGTTTACTCTCCACTCTTCATAATGCTTTATCATACACTTTGGTGTTTTGGTCTGAGAATACAGTATGGTTCCTGACATACACAGCCATCAAATCTTTTGTAAACCCTTCCCACCCCCCTGTAGGTGTCAGAGTCTGTAAGTGTCGAAAGGAGTGTGTGTATAATGGCAATCTTGGATATTAGCAAATCACACAAATAAAATACATGAGTAACAATTAAGTAACATATAAACTGAAGGCCAAAAGAAATTTGTCCATGGTTTTAAAACAACCTAGCAACACAATATAAATGATTGGATTGAAATGTTTTTTTCAGATTGATAAGTCAACGAAACCACATCATCAAATGGCAAATTAAGAGCAATTTCACAATATTCTTATTCTGTGTTCTAACTGGGTCATACAGTATTAACAGTGGTAGTTTTTAGGTTTTTCAAAATTACGACAAATGTCAAAAAAAACTCCTAATATTGTGAATCAGTTTGGTGATTAATATACAGGGCCTATATTATCATTATCTAAGTAGGTTGAAATTTCTAGACAAGTCTTAAGGACTCTATAAAAATTTGACCTTGGGCATTTCTATGACATCAACAGCCATGCCAGTGCTATAAGGCCATATTTATTATTCAAATACCAATAGTCTTGAAGGACAATTCTAGTTTAATTACTGCCACAGTTTGATGGTTTCAGTTAAAAAATAGGATTATTGATCAGTAATCCTTCTTCTACGTACATGTCGGCTTTGAAGTCAAACATATAAGAAAAACTGTGGGTTTGACGATGGCATTGTTCACTTTAGTTGTTTGTGTGTAATGTAGTATACTGAGAGTTGATAGCGTCAAATATTGATTATATAGTTCATTACTGAATTAAAACCCGACTCGCTGTAGTCAGTATATCTGATCATACTTGACATCCATTCCCCTGATAATCCTTCAACATTTTCTTACATTCTTGACGCCATTTTGAATTTCCAAATATCAAGTCGACACTGTTTAGGTTCGAAAATCAACTACCACTTGGATTTTATTAATAAAATGTAAAGGCATTTTAGCATTATTAAACTTGTACAAAAATTACCATAATAACTCTATAAAATTAGATCTAACTATAATATTTCGTCGACTCTTAGATTTTACTTTGCTCTTTACAACATATTATAGGATAACAACGATATAATCAATTTTGGTAAGACTCACTATTATCACTATCTCATGTAGCCTAAGCGTAGAACAATGCGATTGAAAACTATGCTTTATTTTTTTTTCTTCTGAAATTCTGAACGGTGTCAGTGATGCAGGTAAGAGGGGCTGACATGGAAATAGCGTCTAGTCGTTTGGATGGGACAATAAACCGAGGCCCCGTGTGCTACAGGCTGTGCACGTTAAAGATCCCTCGACAGTTGGAAATCGAAAAAGAGCAGGCTAATGCCGCTGTCCTGGCAAAATTTCCCTCATCGCACCCTGCATGGCGTTGCCCGTCTTCATTAGCCCACATGGTGCAGAAAAGTAGGACGTAAAACTCCATTCATTTCATTTCATTTCATAAAAAAATTGTAATTAGTCCTATAACCGACAGATGTTTGAAAATAAGCTGCATTATCAGATCAGATAAGTTTACTGTCAGCGACTGGCTATAATGATCCACTTTACTGTGTTGACTATTTGGCAAGACAATGATAGAAACCCTAAATTATATGCATCCTCGAAAAGCAACATTGAGGCTAGTCATGCCACAGGTTCTGTTCATGTGTTAAGAATAAATTAACCATTCCTGGTTGCCTAAAAGTATCGTTATTTATAGAGTGGCGGAAAAGAATCTTAAAAGCTACAATAAATCACTTTTCTGTTTTGTAAATGTTTTGATATCGATTGTTTAACTTATGACTAACTCGATGATAGGAAATGATGTGTTTAAACCTTTATTACTGAATACACTGCCAAAAATTAAAATTATATACTATTTCAAGCATAGTTGAAACAAATAGTCGAAACTAGTATGTGCTACAATACATATAGTATGTAATGTGTTTTCCAGACCGAAAGATTTTAAGTTAATGAATTATATTAAAATTTGAATTTTATGAACAGGTTTAGCGGTAAAAATCAATTTTCTAGAATCTCGTGGGATATTATTTACTGGTAGTTTAATTCAATTGGTAAATCTGGTCACGATTTTAATTCATTCCACACTCAATGATATCTTTCTCATTTACCCATCGCTCTATTAACTCCCTCGTCTAAAATTGGCATCAAATATCTTTAGAAAATAACGTGAGCAGCTTATTATTACATCTCCATCACATGTTTCAACAATGGTTTTTAGATTCTGTTTAATGATATTTTTTACGGGAGCTACTGCTAGTATTCCAATGAGCCATGATAATATGGAACTATTTAAATTAGACTTTTACGCCCTTCACGGCTTCTGAAGCGGGCTACGTTTTTGTGTTCAATGGGGGAAATCTTCCCAGGATAGCGGCAGCTTGGAAAGTGTCATCTTGACCTATGCGATATGGAACCTCTGAAGCGAGCAAGACTCTCACTTTGAGTCGTCCCGAAACCCCACGGTACGGAAGCAGATAAATCGTTGTTCTGTTTTATAATTTAGCTTCAAAATTTGACATGATTACAAAACGGATATATTGGAACAACTCTTGTTGAGATTTTAAACACGAATAGAATGATAATCTGTGCCTTTCATATGTGGTGATCTTCTATGCCAGTCGTGAAGTATTTTTGGACTTTGTCTTAAAAAGAGATGGGGAGTTATGTCATTTAACTGAAACTAGAACCCAAAGAGTATTAATGATTATGATGTTAGATAATTATAATATCATTAATACCAGCATTATTTTTATTTGATGCTACTTATACTGCACAGTTATCTTTCCTTGGCATGAAATAAAATATCAGGCAAGATGGCGGCATTTTTAATAGAATTCCACTGTGAAAAGATCGATTTAACGCAGGAGACAAAAATCAATGAAAAGTGGATCGTCTATTCATAGAATTGTAGTGGGTATTATAGTAATTGAAGAAGAACTGCGAGATTGAAGAAATACTAATCTTTACGACGATATCTTGACTTGCCAAGTTAGAAATTTGTATTCACCATACCAACAAACACAATCTTGAGAAAGTCTTCTGAATTCATTAAACCGGTCAGCGAGTGGTAGCACTGGAGGTGATCGACAAATACTTGATTTGTTTTCGTTCTCAAGTATTTAGCTTGGACGCAAAATACTGGATTCCGGCCAATTTCGTCTTATGATTTATCTTCTGATGATAATGACAGCGCTTTTTTTATCCGTGAGGAACAGGATCATGACAAGCTATGATTATCCTACCCTCGACCAAAGGAATCCTTGTCAATCCCTTTGAGCATAAGCTAGGATCCAACATACTTGTTTTTGTTCCTCTCACATCCTCGTATTTCCGTTTCACCTTCTTGACATTTGCTAATTTTTGTAAATCCACAGCATTTCTGTTACATTGAAATTGCAAAACATAACTGTATCATATTGCTCTCGTTTGGTGTTTGGGGTTTAGTTTGAAAAGCCTGTTGGGAGGTAACCTTATCATAATGTACTATTTTGCCATGCACCATATTTTTAATCAATAACACTATTTAGGAAATCTAACAACATATAAATTATCTAGTGACCTTAAAACATGAAAAATAATCTACGTAAGTTCCATCCAAAATAAAAGCTGTAAAGAAAATCGATTGGGTAAATGACGACTCCACCATCATATTATATACATAAAAATCAGTCATGCAAATTCATTCATGTAAATGTCCTATCTGGCAGTTAAACGATCTTTTATAACCCAAGATTATAGCTATTTTATTCTTCCTCTCGACAAGATTGGGAACAACAGTTCCTATTTTCTGACCAGGCCGAATGTTTTTAGAATGTAGATCCTTCCTTTTTCAGGTATTGTACAAAGATTACACTTTTCTATGCTTGATATGATTTTAAAACATGTTGTAAATGTGTCTGTGTCAATTATTACACTGATTTTACAGGATTGGCTTAATATGTGTAGATATGAAATAAAATACCACTTTCACTATGATTCGAGCTTGATGTGCAAATCTCATTTGTTGTTGACTATCGCTAGATAATTAAACCGTATACAGCGCTGTTGATGGATAATTCAGAAAATATGGTCAGTATCCGTAGACTTGTAGATAGAGACTCTATTCTAGGAGAGAAACTATTTTGATAGGCAATATTCATAGTTTGAAATTTTTTGTTCTGGCGAGGTGTACAGATACGAATTTTAAAGGGTAGAGAGGTTTACGCTCTTTCTCGTGAGGTAATCTTCTGTAATGTATGTGTTTATGAGCAACACTAAATGTATACAAACGGGAATCAAATGCTTTGGAAATTACGGAGAGATTCTTTGCTACAAGGAATATTTGGCACATGAACCTCAAGAAGCTGCATATGTAAATTGTCACCTTCCCTTAAAATATAAAGATAGGAATCTTTAGAGGGTAGCCACCATAGTGCTATTTTACTAAAAGCAAGGTTTGAGTTGATTTGAAAAAAATATGTGACCTGTGGCCACGAATAATGCTGTGTTCAAAGTTCGTCTTGTTTGCCATTAAAAGTTATCATTACTAACCAAATAACTTCTAGATATAAAGGCATATAAATATAGAGTGGTGTAGACATACACAGTCTGAATTTCGTATGTCGTTGCACTAATACAGGATTAAAATACTGCCAATTGATAACTGAGCCTTCATATTTCCCGTTTTTCGAGGTTAGACACTTCAAAATCGTTTTATCGCCTTGAGAAGCAATCAATACTTTGTGTTTTTACATTGTTAATTGTCTGTTTTCTAGGAAAATTATAAAGAATTTAATGAAGTTTGAATGTAGTCTATAAAGACTTATTAATGGCAAGTCGTCAGTTGTAATTGTTGTGTTGTATTGAATTTGTAAGGAGCTTATTGATTGGATGATTGACACAGTAATAATTGTATAGAAATAGTTGGTTGGTGGAAACAATTGCTGGTCATCTTTGTATCTCTGAGCATGGCAATATTTATAGTTAATTACAATGTTCCGTTTTAACCATTGTTGCATTGCAAACCCTCACAGATGCTTCAAAAGTAGGCTATTTAGCAAGGCTGTTGAAAAGAGAAGCTAAATCCTCGCAGTTGCTTCAAAATTGTTGTAGTTGACATATAGATAAGCTAATCTGAACGACATTTTTGTTTCATTGGCAACTGAAAGGTGTTTTACAATAGATTAATATGGCGGAAATCTGAGTTCATGGGTAGACAACTAGACAAAATGGCTCTGATAATACCACTCGGTAGATTAGTGGTTTTTCACACCTTTTCAGTTTTATTTAAATTGCTGAAAAAAATGTATGTTTTGAATACAATATATCAGCGGTAAACA